TGGAAGTCCAGAGAGGAAATCAAGCACTTGACATGTGCCAAGCAACCAGCTGCCCTTGTGTTTGTTTCACCTGCTGCACTTTGGCCTTCCACACACCTATCAGCTGCTACTCATGGGTGTGGTTAAGGAATATTCAGCAGCTCAGTGTGCCTCTCTCTTTGAGAGGTTCTGGCACCCAGCCAGAGCCGTAAAAGCACAAGGTGGGCACCCAGCCAGAGCGGTAAAAGCACAAGGTGGTACCGACAGAATCCAGTATGCATCGAAAGAGACTCAGAAACAGGTGCAGAGATCCTGAGAAAGAGAGTTAGTGTAGCAAGATGCAGAGACAGACCAGCAGGCCACAGTTAGGGCCCAAGGCCTGGTCTAAGCATGGTGGCAACCTTGATTTCTGTTTCCCCAGCCCCAACCCACACAGGGCTAGCAGTGGGGAACAGGTCCAGCTTGCTGGGCGTATGATTCAAAAGTGCAGGAGTTGGGGAGTAGGTAGAGGCAGCTTTCTCAAGTCCCTACCCTGGGTGTGCCCAAAAGTTTTGTGTTTTCTTAGATTTCTCTTGGGACAGGGCCACTGCTGGGGTTGAGACCTGGCCAGTGTTGGGGAGTGGGGATTACAGTCTTTCCTTTGGAAGGTGTCTGTCTGGGTGTCTGCGTGCTTAGGGATCTGCCCTTCCATCCCTTGCCCGTTGAAGGTTTTTCTTTCTAAGAAAACAGCTTACTCTGTAGAGAAGATTGGTCTGGAACTCATTTTGTAGCCCCAGCTGGCTTCAAGGCCGCAGCAATTCTCTGCCAGAGGGTCCCAAGCACTGGAATTCACAGAGATGGGCCCCCAGCTTCAGCTAGCTGTCCCTTTTTCTCTCCATAGAGAAGATTGGTCTGGAACTCATTTTGTAGCCCCAGCTGGCTTCAAGGCCTCAGCAATTCTCTGCCAGAGGGTCCCAAGCACTGGAATTCACAAAGATGGGCCCCCAGCTTCAGCTAGCTGTCCCTTTTTGTCTCTCCGGCTGTTTCTCTGTGTGCTTGATAGCCTGTGGCTAAGACCCTGAAAGTAGGTGTGGAGTCCTAGACAGGCCTTTGACCAGCTGGGCTCCCACCTAGGTAGATGATAAACCTGGGATGTTGCATTCCTGGAGCTGCTGCATGTAGAGCCCTCACCACTGTAATACCACTTTCATCTCTCTGAATCAGACCGCGTTCAGATCTCACTTCCAGCCTAGGCTTGGTTGTGTAGCCCTGTAATCCCAGCTGCTGATGAGGGTGAGGCAGAAGTTAGGATCAAATGTTCTAGACCAGCCTGGGCTACAGTGAGTTCAAGGCCAACCTGGGCAACTTCATGAGATAATGTCTCAAACAAAAACCAAGAGGGTAGAGTTCAGTGGTAGAGCACTTGCATACCTTGCACAGGGCCCTGAATTCCATTCCCAGTCACTTTCCCTCTGTGGGTCCTCAGAGAAGCCAGTCTCCTCTCTTGGGACTTAATTTGTTCTTTGGTAGAAGAACAAATGGGGTGATTTCAACCCCAACTTGCCAGGGTGAGGGGGGCACAGCAAGGCAAGGAGTAAGGAATTACGTGGAAAGACTGGGAACGGCTTTAGGTTCCACCAGAACTTCCCTCTGGACCCTCAAACTCAGAAGAGTGATGGGAAGTGAGCTGTGCCCACTGTACAGAAAGGGAAGCAAGGTGTGGGGTGTAAGGAAGTTGTGCTGGGTATGGAATTAGGTTTTTGTACATGCTAGCTAACTATTCTGCCAATGAGTCACATCCCCAGTCAATGTGCATGTGTGTGTGCGTGTGTGTGTGTGTGTGTCTGTGTGTGTATGAATGGTACTTATGTGTATGTGTGTGTATAAGAGCAGGTGTGAGGTTCTGCTTTGAAGGTCTCTTGTTTCTGCTGCTGTGCCGCATACTCAAACTTCATTGGCCCTTGAAATACTAGGGAATTTTTCTTTCTGTCTCCTATATCACTGTAGGATTGCTGGTGTTTACACTTAGCACTACTACATTGGATTCCGGGAATCTGAACTCAGATCACCAGGTTTGTTTGACAGGTGCTTTTCCCCACGGAACCATCACCTTAGCCCCTATTTTTTACTCTTTGTTGCAGTCTCCTGTAACCTAGCCTGGCTTTGAAGTTGAGGTCCACCTGCTTTAGCCATCCAAGTAGCTGGGGTTACAGGCTTGCGCCATCAGGGTGGGTTCCATGTCCTTTGTGGAAGTGAAGAGAGGAGCCCACGAACTAGCTGCCTTTATGCCTATGC